AGGACAATAAAAAAACAGAATTAAAAAAGACAGATGATGATTAACGTTGCATTTAAATTTTTGAAGATTATAGTTAGTTGACAGGAAAGCAAGAAGTCAAAACAGAGTTCCACAGGTAAGAAGTGCAAGAGAAGAAACTATTAGAATAGAACTTATGGTTACATCTGGGATACATTTCAACAGTAAGATGATGAGACCTAACTGCCAATCTAGTAGTATGCTTAAATTTATAAAGTCGTGGTACAAGAGAGGAAAGCTTGTCAAAACAATCATAGTGTATATATTACATGTTTGCCCAAGTAAATTAACTTTTAACAGGAGAAAAGTTTATGCTAAAATCCCCCCCCTTCATATTTGCATTATATTTTCTGAGTAATGCCTTCATAAGTTGTTAGACAGTTCCACTATTTTAGTCTTAGTTAGATATGGCAATTCAAACTTATTTCTTACATTTCTATTACATATATTACTATTAGACTTTGAGAGAAATGTCTAAATAAAGTTCATTTTACTAATATGAATGTGTAAATAAGCAGAACATTTAGAGAGGCTGAAATGTTCCTATTGACATCTGGATATTTGGTTATATCTTTCAGCCTTTGGAAAATATATATACATTTTTATATATTAAGAACAAATTTAGGGAGGGGGAAAATGTATGACAAAATGGAAAAAGTTTTGGGGCAACATGTTTTACCCTTTCAGACTTCATTGGACTAAAGAGGAGGTGTTTATGTTGATGCAACTCGCCATGCACACGAAAGAAAGGTGATGCCGAGAATTTTTATATTTAAAATTCTCAACTTAAACATCACTTTAGTCTGATGAAGTCTTAAAAGACGAACCCCCCCAATATATACTATGGCAGAAATACCTTCCACATAATGGTAAGAAACAATGGTGTCTTCACTTAGCTAATGACTTACCATTATGTAGGAGGTATTTCTGCTGCTCTCTCTACATACATACATACATACATACATATATATATATATATATATATATATATATATATATATATATACACACACACACATACACTACAAGCCATTCTAGAGTTTTGTGCTTAGGATTAAAATCAATTTAAAACTATTGTTTGAAGAGGTATTCTGGATTTAATGCTTTTAACTCATTGATTGTAAAAAATGCATTAGTGTTGAAACATCAGAGAAGACAGTAGAGATTTGCCAAAAATTCTATCTTAGATAATTAGAAATCATGGTCACATTGGAATCCTTAATTCATACAAAAAATTGGTTTTTATTTTGATTCTGGAATTAAAGAAAGAAATAAGACATTTACTTACCTATTGAAATTGTAATGACTTATTGTTTTTAGGTTTTCATTTTCTGGTTTAAAACTTTCAAGAGATTCAAAAAGATCTCCTTTGTCTTACAATAATTGACCAAAATTTTATCATTTTTCTACATCTTTGCTTCAGATTTTAAATTTCAATTTTAAACAAATATTTTGTAATTTCTGTCCTTTTATTCTCACCGACATGTCTGTGCAAGATTTGACAAATTAAAAAATAAAAAAAAATAAAAAATCTTTAGTTGTCCACTGTAAGTAATAATACTATGACAAAATATTTCATACATTTTAAAATTAGGATTAAATGTTTAATATTTTGTCATCAAATATAGATTACAAAAAAAAAAAAAAAATTATTGGTGTAAAGCATATTTTCCAGGCTTCATTTATCAAAATCGCTTATAAAAGAATCTTTAAGAGAATTTTTATTTTTATGCATTTAAAAAATGTTAGCTTCCTTGTTAAAGTTTAAAATTTCATATTTACAGATATAATAAAACCAGATTGACCACATGAAATTTCATCCAAATCACACCAGGCTTAAATAGAAAGATCAAATTTTGGCCTAAAAATTTACATACATAAAAATGTAGGTTACGGTCTGAATATTTTAAATTAAAATGTAAAAAATGCAAAAAAAATAAATCAAACCCACTCCAAGATATTGGAATTCACTGAAATCAATGGAAGTGGCTTTTAATTTAAAAAAAAAAAGAAAAAAAAAAAAGGTTTATATATGAAACTCAAAAAAAAATCTTGAAGATATGAAGTTTTTCAAAGGTGCAAAGTTTTAAAGGAATAATGCTGATATGTCATTTTTTAACGTGCTGTGGATTTTACAAGTAAATGTTGGGCATGAGTACATATGAAAGACTTGCTCAAAGCAAAACTTATTAGAGTCAACCATGAGAGACTTGCTTAAGGAACTGATAATTTTACCATATCAGGCACAATCTTTTATAATTGCTAATAATAATAATGCTCCATCTTCACAGTTTACAAAGAGACGTCAGCTGACTTTGTACAAGACGCACTCACAAGGTTAACAAAATGAACACAAACAAAAATTTGTTGGGTATCTAGTTTTCTTTTGAGGAAAAATGTTTCGTTTAGAATCAAGAGGGAATTCATGGCTAGCATTCTTGCTTCCATAAAGTTATTTTTCCCTTTAATACATTTCTCTTAAACTAAGAATTAAAAGACGTTTACAAGACAGAAATTTCAATAAGTGCTCTTCAACAGTTTTTACAAAATTGTGCATCAGCTTCTATAAACGTTTTACCAATATTCAAATTAGACACATCACTTTCATTTGTTCATATCCACTGATACGAGTGAAAATTTTAGAGTTGTTGAAGACATGGAACGACTTTTGATACAACAAATATTTGGAAATCTTTATCGTAAACTGTACCTCAAAAAACTCATTTGATTGATAGAAAATTTTTTTAATGAATATTGGCAATATTCAATGAATTGAATATCCTCACTTTTGTTGTTTCAATATCTTAACTTTCAGCTGGTGGGTTCTCCATACTTTCTCAACTGTATATATTTTCTTATACCATTATATAACACTTTTGGTGACTGCTACTCAATATAATTTTACTTTCTCTCTATAGGATTTATATTAAGCTTATTTGTAAATGGTAAATGATCACAAAGCTCCAAAGATTCTTCATTGCTTATCTGTGTAGTTTTCTTATTAAGAAAAAGAGATAACAACTTGGTAATTAACAGTTAATAAACATGGAGTTATTTCCCTTGGAGAATTGGCAGGGAGGGGGGTAATCACTGAAACTGGTGGCTTGATTTGATTCTTAAAGTGAATGAATTTAATGGTATTGTGCTAACAAAAATTGCACTACAGCATGCTGTTTGCCATGATATTGTAACAAACACACACACAAAAAAAAAAAAAAAAAAATCAGATGACTTATAAAAAATTTTTTAATCTCCATTTCCTCACAGGCTAATAATGTTTTTTTATCACAGGACCAATAAGTGGAGATCAGAAAGCAAGGAAAATTGACTGAAAACGAGGAAAGTTTGAAAACCCACCATCCGAATCATTATAATCAAAACAGCAAAGGTTGATGATATAAGTCAGAATGATTCATTAAATAACACATCAGAACTGCAGATTTACATATAAGCAAATGGCATCTTGTTAAAAATAAATAAAATGAATTTCTTTTGAAGTCAGGAGCATTTTTCATGTACATTCATTCATTCTTAGAAAAAGTAAGAATTTGCTGAGTACATTAAGTAATGACTGTCAATGTTAACTTCGTTTTGTTTTTTTCCCTTTTTTAAAAAAGAAATTGATTCATTTTCAATAAACATTTGAATCCCTCGTTTTGTATGAGAAATGTTTGTTTTTCTTGCTTCTTTTTTTAGTTTGTTAATGCTGTGGTCTGTGAAGTCACAAAAACAGGCATGACAATTTTTACATGATGAAACGTCAAATCGATGTTATGTCAAAAAGAGAAGAAGGAAGAAGAATTGAACTTTATCATCAATTAAAAAAAAAAAAAAAAAAAGAATACGTCCATACTCATTCATGGATGTACAAACACATACACACTCATTCACAAACAATAATCAGGTGAACAGCTACATACATACATTTCAAACTGTACACACACTCGCATGTTATCTTTGCTTTTCAGTGAATAGGTAATTTTGTTCAGACTGTGATTCATCAGGGCAGTGACTTTGCCGCTCTGGAGTTAGATGCTCAGGGTCTGGCTTTGAATGTAGCATGTGGGTTTTGTGACATGAACTATCGAAAGGGGTTAGAGTCAGAAATGTCTTCAGTCTAGGAAAAAACTCGTCGGCTACCAATAACATTTCATCAGCATTTGCTTGAGGTAGGGTGCGGTTAAGATTCAACAGAAAACTCCTTTGAGATGCGGAGCACCTTCGGACAACAATCTCACTCTCAAGGAGTTGATCCAGAATGCTAGAAAATGTCCAAGAACTGTCAAGATCAATCAGAAGAAAATGTCTCTGGCCACTTAATTCCACAAAGCGCACAACCTTGCCATCAAGCAAGGTCATCCCTCCCAGAACAAATTCATGTGTCTGGGCAGTGTCAGAAAGAGGAAAATGGGTTTCATGTTTGTTGTCTTCAGTTTGAGCTTCCAAAGACAAGTCAGAAGAAAAATGAGAAGATATTAAGGGGTCAGAACCACAACTACTGTTGTTGTTGTTATCATTGTCGTCATTTCGATGTGCTTCAGATACAAAGTCTGTAGAAATGGGTTTGGAAACATAATCACAGTAATCAGAGGAAACTGACACCAAATCAGAATCACTTGGTGCCATGAGAGAGTTTGAATAGACATGAGACTCTTCTAAAGAAATTGTACTACTACTAGACTCTTGGGTGGGATCATGGTTATCTCTTTTGATGACCTTTGTTGAAACAATGTCATGAGTTTCAGGGTGCAGAGGAGAAATCGTATCTAGGGGAGAAGTTTGTGTTGAAGATGAGGTCGTTCCAAAAACTGGAGATTCAAATGAAGGTTCAAATATACCTGACATGGGACGCTTTACTGGTTTGCGAGCAACAGTTCTGCATTGCCCTAAAGCCATGGCAAAGTTGTTACTAGTGTGACTGCATGCACACAAATAACTTGCTGGTAAACCCGTTTCTGTAGCAGTATCCAGAGGTTCCATTTTCATAGATACTGCTGGTGTCGTATCCAGCACTTTGAGCCAATCATGGTCATAAACACCCGTATCATTTGGATCCCAATCCTGGACACAAGCCGTGAGACTGCATTCTCTGAAGCTGTAAAAAAAATGATAAATAATTTCAGCATCGCTAAGCAACATAATACCCAACGGTGTAGCTCTGTTCCCAGTGAGCAGAGTCCCAGACTCAAGGAGATATTTCAGAGCAAAAGACTTCATGTGAAATGGAAGCTCTAAATATGGAAAACTGTAGTCGCGATATTTAGTTCTATAAAAGATAATTTGGTTTTTTCCCTGAAAGCACTTTTGAACAAGCTCTCTAACAATAATATATTTTTTCACGTTAATGATAACGCATAACAGCTTGTGACCATGAAATTTGACAAACTTGTGTATAATGGGTGAGGAAATTCTCCTATCTGTTTGTTTATAGCAGCTACCTTTAAAAGCATGTGTCACACAGCCATAGAAAGGACTGTCCGTTTGACATTGTTTGTGTAGGGAGGCCACACAGTCAATAGTATTATCTTTAATCTCACCACATTCCTGTTGGGGAGGACGAAATATACGTCCACGTCTGTCAGGACATGCGCTCGAGATTCTGGCTCGTATTATATTCAGATCATATTCGGCCAAAGGTGTTTTAGGACCAGCTTTAGAAACAAGTTCTAATGTAACTTTATCATCTTTGCTCATCTCGTTGGCTAGTTCTGAATCTTTCTCATGGCATGAAGCGATCGAATCTTGAAGTTCTCTAGCATCGACCTTCGTTCCAAGAGACATGTATTTTTTCTTGTATTGCTGGTACATTTTTTTGGTGTGGCACTTTTTCTGTGAAATTTTTGGCCTTTTGAATTTCTTTAAAGAATTTTTAACTTTATCTTTTCTTTTCAGCTTCAAGCTTTTCTTCTGTTTTTTCTTTTTTTCTTCTTTTGCAGATTTTTCATGTTTCTCGAACAAATGATTGTTGATTGTTGTTGAATGATTTGATTTATTCACGCAATTAGCAACCACCGAAGAAACAAGAGGCACCACCTGTTTACTAGTGGAATAGTTAACTGCAGAAGGCGGCTGTTTCAATTCAACAGACATAATATTCAGGCCTATTGTAGAATTGGGTGCTTCTAGGCGTACAACTTGATCCTCAATTCCACCACTATGAACAGAATGGGACGAGAAGTGAGTGTGCGGTTTCACGTTTGGCGTAGAGTCATTTGAGACGACAATGTCGCCGTTACTGTTCTTGGAGAAGACTTCCTTCTCCTTACGACAGTTCAAGAAGGAAGAAAATAGTGACCCATTTTCCTTGGCGCTTTTACATTTGTCAATCTCTGCCAACATTTTGGACTTGTGCAATTCCTTGAAAGGAGAGCTGTTGGTGTGTTCTGAATATTCTAAAAGGTTGTTTTTCTTTGAGGAATTGATTGGTGTGACAATGACATTTGAATTTTTACCCAACACACTCTCAGGCTCGGCAAGACCTAGCAAACTATCACAAGTGGACTCCTCATAGTCGGTTACAATAGCGATCACTTTCATGTCTCCATTCTCACTAATTTCCAGACATGGTGTTTGATTTATTTCTTTTAAATTGTTACACGATGAAACTTTCTTGGAAAGGTTTAAGATTTCCAATCCAGGCTGTTGCAGTGTGGGAGCGGGGTCAGTTTCCTCAGAGTTTGTTAGAGAAGTCGTGGTTTTACTTTTCAATGGGGAGGTTGTGAGAGTGAAGATGTTGCTGCTCCTTGAGAGAAGAGATTTCTTTGTATGCTCTACCTGCAGTATGGAATTATTGAAAGAAGAATGAATTTCTTGCCGTTGTGGCACGGTTTTCTTTTCTTGTTGCTTTTGACTTTGCAGATTATCAACTGTTTGACTCGGCATCATCATCATCATCATCTCTTCGGAATTTGGTGCATTGCACTGACTCTGACGATGATGGTCATCATCATCAACTGTTTGGTCACACAAGTTGTTGGCTTTGGTGGCAGTTGGACTTTTTTGCCCTGACTCATCGGCAAGAGAACTGACCTTGAGGGCAGGATCAAAAATTTGCTTCGTCTTTGCGATCTTGAAATTTTCAGCATCCTGGTCAATAAGACTAGCGTCGGCAGCTGCAGGAACAGTTACCTTACTGTCTGTTTCTGCCATTTTACAATAAGATCCAATTCCCTCAAGGAGCAGGCTCTTGGAGAGGGAATGGCCAGTAGGCAGACTGTCATCGCTCTCATTACCGACAGAAGGAGCCCCTTCAGAATTTTCTAACCTGTCATCGATGATAGGTATCGGATTTTCTGACGAATTCCATACTTTGATGGGTTTCACATTTTCTGTATGCGTCTTCTCAGACTCAACAGAAGTGTGAGTCTCTGACATGACTATCATATCATTTTGGGGTCCATCTTTGTTTGGAGAATAGTCTTTATCTAGTTCCTTCTTTAGACAGCTGCTCGAAATGGCAACATTTTCCCCAGATACCTTTTGCCCTAAAGATTCTAATGTTTCGAGTTCTTCATCGGATATTCGATGTTCTATTGGCTGTTTTTTGATTGGAAGAATTGCTTTAGGGAGCTTGCAGACTGATGGTTTTGTAAGACTCAGTGTCATCCATGTTGGCTTTGTCAGTTCCTTGTTGGAACCAATCTCGGCTGACAGCTGCTTGCCCTCATCTTTCTCTTTAGTCAAGGAAATGTTTACCTTCAGCACAGATGAAGTATTTTCTGGTCTCGTAGAATTGCGGTTGCCTTGATCCTTGGAGTCATTTTTGTCAGTATCAAGTGAAAGTGTTATTTCTTTGTCAGCTATTCTTTCTTCGAGAACATCGTTGTTGTCTAAAGAACTGGAACTAATTGTAGAATCATGAAGCGAGTCTACAGAATTGTCTGCAGTGCTAAGTGTATCCAAAGATTGCCTCGAGCGTATGACAGTACATGGCGTGAGTGTTTCTCCAGACTGCGTGCCATCAGAGTCATCTGTCTCATCCAGTGTAATACACTTGTCATTTCTAATGGAGTGCGTTGTTCGGATGACTTTTCTTTCTAACACAGAGTCCTTCTTTGAAAGCAGGCTTTCTTTATTGCTTGCATGAACTCCCTGAGAATTCGGACCCGATTCTGATAAGGAATGCAAAATATCAACAATATCACAATACTCAGGGGCATTATCACTATCAATTTTATTCAAATACTTGGTAGATTGGTCACTGGCAATGGTTTTCTCAATGATATTAGGAGCCAGGACATGTTTGTCATTTGAATGGTAATTAGAATCTATCAGTTTATTCATTGTGCCCGACACCCAGCATGAAGTGTCCTCTTCAAGCACAAAGCTGTCCCGTTTGCGGGGCTCATACTTTTTGCGTTTTGACCGTCCATCAGTCAATTTCATCTGAAAATCATTTAAGGATTCAGAGACGATCAGATTTTCTTTTTGATTATCTTCAAGTGTTGAGGGTTTTGAATCAGAAAGTTTCCGCTTTGTTGGCGAAAGTCTAGCACCACTCAAGGACGACGGGGTGGCTGCCTTGTTTGGCACACCAGAAAATGACAATGAATAACTGTTTGTGATTACAAGGTCACATGACGCAGCCTCATTCTGACGGCAGTTAACGTTGTTGTTGTTTGGCTCACTTGCAGAAGATGGTGGAGAATCTCGAGACAGATCAATTACATCCTCGATGATTTGTCTACCGATTTTAGAAGTATGTGAATTTGACTTGTGATTTTTTGAAATGGGGACATGTGATGAGTGTTTATCTGGTATCTCAGTAGGAGCCTGAATATTTGAAGTTTGTGTGTCAGAGGTCATGGCATCTGAGACAGATATCTTTTTCATGTTAGATTCTTTTTGATGCTTCTTCATGAGTCTTTTTAGAAAATATTCAGTAAAGTTACTAGATGAGGTGTTGTGATTTGCCACGTCAGGCAGACAATTTGAAGACTTTGCAGAAGAATTTGAATAATAATCAGATGACAAGATCACAGCGTCTTCCATCTTTTTAACCTTACTTGGCAATACTGCTGTTTCGACAACATTGTCTGTTTTCTCACTTGTCTTTATTGATTTTTCTTTGGTTGGCTGTGGTGGACTTTTTTCTGGCATTTTGTACCAAGAGCGCCGGGTGACTGTTGTGCCACAGACCGATGCCGTCGTCTCACATTTCTGCACCAAAGTTTTCTCAACAAAGTTGTGATCTGCCCTCAAATGGTTCCCGACATGTCGTAAGCATTCAATATTGTCTAACTGCGCTGATGGAACAACCACAGGCACCTCTTGGATAGGAATGTCATTTGGATACCTGGCATACCATCCTCGAAGATTACTTGAAGCTGGAGAGTGCAACGTCCCTAAGAGAGGGTCAATCACTGGTGTCGGCTGTGGAGGCATAGTAGGAGGATTGAATGGGGATGGCGGTACACGGTTAGGAACCCTGCAAGGAAATGACTGTGGGGGTGGTACCATACCTCCATTGCTTACTGATGTCATCCATGATCCAGGAGGAGGTGGTGTCCACCCAGTCCAAGGAGGAGCTCGTGATGACCAGTTGATGTTGTTATAACAATTACGGTCAGGTATGAAGGGTGGGCCCACACCTGAATAGTACCCCATTGTCTGATGGTAGTGTGAGATCTGGGTAGTGAATACATTTTCTTCTAGTTGAACTCTGTTCGTACTACGTCGTCGTTCTTTTTTGCTTGGTGTCTCTTCATTTCTCAAAGACATTCCCCTTGGTTAATAGAAACTGCAACTTCAAATTCCTTCAGGAGACAATCCAACAGAGTCTGAAAAAAAAAAAAAAAAGAAAAAAAAAATTAAAAATGGTAGCAGATAAGAAATTGGTATTTAGTTAAGTTTTTATGATTATTCAGAGATTTTCACATGTGATTCTTTAAAGCTATTTTTTTCAATTATGTTAACGTTTAATTCTAGTAAGGATCAATTTTAATTTTTTTATTTCTAGGGAAAAAGAGGCATTAACCTTGTTACTGTTCTATATATTATCTTTCATAGCAATGTGGATGTGCAGGTGGTGTAATTGATTTTGAGTTCAAATCCCAGTTGCGTTTGTTAAATTTATTTATATGCAAAATACCCTTGCAAAAAGTATGAATCTATATCTCCTCCCTGGTACGGATTAAATAGAATTTGTATGTAGAAAAATCAATGTTATTCTCAAAAAAAAAAAAAAAAAAAAAATTGTTAATGAAATATTCACTTGCAAAAATAATTACTCTTATAATTCAAAATATATTTTGGCTTTAAGTAACCCACAAAGGGTTGATAAACTGTAAAAAAACTAAAAAAAAAAAAAATAATCAATTTCATAGCAACACCATTGGTGATTTTTGATGTAAGGTTACAATTTCATTTATTATATATATCACTGCCATGAACAGACAAAAATTAGTTTTATTATTACCAGTCATGATAATAAAAAGTAAAAATGAAAAACAGGCTAGCTAACCGGTTTCGTACCTCACTCAATGGAGCTAAATCGAGTAAATTATATAACAAAAAAAAAACAAAAATAATGGACAAAGTTTATTGGTGGGAAGAAGAAAAAAATTTAAATGGTAATTGGTTGGAGGCCTAATATAAAGTCCTTCTGTTTACAAAGAGAGGGCTTTAATGATAGAATATAGATGGCCTCCAACACTTTTAGGTGGTAATTTGAGTGGGACTTGCTAAGGATGGTAAAAGCGACCACATTAAAACTAACAGCACAATTATGGCTATTTATAAGGTATGAAACGTATGAATGTAAAGAAAAAACCTTCCCCCACAACAGAATTGGCCTTGAAAGAATGGATAATGCTTAGGAATCATGTAGAAAGGAGAGAAGATGAAGGTACAGAAAAAGGGGAAAAACAAATGCTATGTTGGGAATCCAGTGTAGAATCTACAAGTCAAGGAACAGGTAAGATTGTCATAGGAAAGAAGAAAGAAGATTCATTTCTGGGACAAAATCAGGAAAGATAAAAAGAGAAATCAAAGAAAAGTGGTTGAAGTAGAATTTTACTTTATGTAATGAATATTAATTTTTCAAGATATGCTCTAATATGGGGGACTATTTTGCTGAGACGAGCAAAGAGGGAACATATCATTTAAGTAATATACAAAGTAAGCAACTGTTACATACATATTTTTTTTATTGAACTTAGCCTAGTCTGGCCCAAGTCCACTTAGTGTGAATATGAAACTAGTTTACTATCTCTTGCTGTAAACATTTGGGTTAAGCCTAAAATGTAGAAAAGTAATTGGATGTATCATTCATGAAAGCAAATAGTTTGTCAGATACGGTCAAGTTGAAAAATCAGTGATGCAATGAAAATTTGTTTCAGGTCATTTTTGCTTGAACTTCTGATTAATTATTAGCTTGATGAATCATTTGGCAGTCACGTGACAACTTCCTACTTCTCTCTAAGCATCTTCTACCATTGTCTCAGGAGTCATGCTTTCTTATTCTGAGATTGAAGCAAAAGGGCAAAAAACAGACATATTGTGTGTGCGTGTGTGTATGTGTTTATTTTAAGTTTTCTCTTCGTTTCCAGCTGTGAACAAGTTTGTCTAGGTTTGAAAGTCTCACAGAAGTTAAATATATTTCTCTTCCAAAAATTATTTTAAATTCTGACCTACACTAACACTAAAGAGATTTTTTTGTTTAGAGCTAGGAAAGAGATACTTTTAATATTGGTTGATTTGCAATGATTATGATAAACATATTTTATATCTTTTATGGGGGAGGGTGTTTAGGTAGTGTAATGGTTATTGACTTGGAAAGTGGAATCAGTGAATCAAATTCAAATTTTGGCCTTGTTTATTGCATTCACTTTCCCACTAATGCCCTTGGAAAAGGCATGAATACATTTCTTCTATCTCCCAGCTATGGGTTAAATAGCTGGGTATACAGGATGCTCTAACTTTAGGTGATAATTGATCTAAAAGAAACAAAACTGAATTTCATTGGAGAAGGCAATGGAATACCACTATCTTTCCTAAGAAGTCAGGGCAATTCCCAGATAATAAAGGAATTTGTGGAGAGCTATGATCGCCTATGTCCTGAAAAGACATGGCATTAAAAAAGTAGGTAGTTTACTTGTGGAAGTTACTTGGAAAGCACTTATCTACTTTCCAAGTAATATGAGATAAAATAACTTCAACCGTCAATATTGTGTTGAACAGCATTCAGAAACTGTGCGAGTGTGTGTATAATTAAGAAATACACTTAAAAAATTGCTCCATTTATGTTGTGGGTTTGAAAATAGAGCAAGCAGACAGAGTTCAAAAAGGACCCAATGAAATGCATTTGCATTTCTGAAATAGGATAATTGAACCTTGCTTTTCTATTCTCATGGCTTAATGGTAAAAAGTATGCCTGTCCTGAAGGTAGTTTCCCAAGTTAGAAATTAAACCTATATTCCCTATATAAGCCAATAGATATTAATTAACTTTTAAAAGTAAATAAAAAGACATGTCTACTCAAACAAATATACCCACTGCATATAACGTGTACTAATATATATATATATATATATATAAGAAATGGGTGATTTAACCAAAAAATCAATTTTTTTGCAGTTTCATCTACACACTGGAAGCTGCACTGAATTTTTTTTTAAGTAACTCAAACCATCTGGTATAGTGTTCTTACTACTAAGCAACCATACTCACATGATTGAAGACTTTCAGATTTTAATAAAATTAAATTTTATCAACATTTTTACTGTTAGTAAAAGGAAAGATTGAACAAAAATATGATAAAAACATTTTATTGACTTTTAGGAAATAAAAGTAGGAAATCTATTTGTTTACATTTTTAGCATTGAATGTTTTCAAATGAAAAAAAAAAAAAAAAAACAAGGAAATATGATGTCAGAAATCTATTTGTTTCAATTCAAATTTGTAATTTTTTAAGAGGTTTCAGTTGTAAAAAAAAAAAAAAAAAAAATACTTGTGGTAAAAGTAAATAAATGAAATCACCAAAATGAAATAATAGCAACTAAAAAAAAAAAAAAGTAGGTGCCTGTGCCAGCTTCACCTTAATGTTAAATTATTATTTTATTTTTTGACTTTTTTAAAACCACTTCATAAACTGACTGTTATTTCTGGAGGGTTATCTCAGCTATACCATTTTCTCGCCCGAATGTGTTATCCAAAGACACACAAACAAAACAAAACATGAATATTTATGTGACGATTTCTTTTAGATGGTATATATTTATAGTTGACAATTTATTTGAAAGTTTTATATGATTAAACTTTATTTCTATGACTAAATTACCTTTAAAGCCTAAAAAATGACTATGTGAATAATCTCTACTTTTTTTTACTCATCCTTCTTTCAGCAATGCTGGACTTGTCATCAGTGACAGGAGATGGAGGCTGCAAACCTAGTCATGATGAGAAACTGATTTTTCTCAATCACAACCTAAGACAATAAGGAGAAACATTTTCTCTTTACAAAATTAAATTTTTCATCCGTTGAATAATTTTGACAATATTTCATTTTCATCTTTGCTGAGTGTTTGCTTAATTTTGTTTGTTCAAGTAAATTTTACGGTTGTTAATTTCTTGCACTTCTGAGAGGTTAAGGAATTAGACAAAATGGAGATTCAAAGTTTTATTCTTCAGAAATCTGTCATGAATCTCTGGTCTCAGTTTTAAAGAGTTAACTGTTTCAAACAAATCATAGATGTTTCATTTCAACTAATCATCATCATACAAGATAATGAATGGCTTCCTTAGAAAGAAAAAGTAATAAATTAAAAACAGAAACCATACTGGAAACTGAGGTATCAAGAAAAAAAAAAAAAAAAATTGAAATTGATACTGGAACCAAAATTTCCAAACTGCCCAACTCTATGTGATAATATCTTCATTTAAGTGCCAACAAGATTGATGAAAGTAAGAGTTAAGATACATTTTCAAAACAGATTCACATATAAGATTAACCAGGGATTGAGGCTTACTCAGAGAATACAGTTTCCAAAGAAAGCCTTTGGCTTACAACACATGAAAAAAATAAATAAATAAATAAAATTCTGCAGAAAAGAGAATCCCACTTCATTATTTTTTTTTTCTTGTTGATAAAGGATGCAAGTGTGTCCAAAAATTCTAATTTTAAAATCTCATTATGCTTCGGTAATCAAAAGGCCTACATTAAAATTGTTATAATGTGCTTTGCAGTGCTTATGATATAAGTAATGCTTCAGTATCTTGCTGTGACACCTGTATTAATTAGTCTGAAGACTGACTAACAGCTTTTATTTCTTACCTCTGATCTAAAGCTCTTTATTTATAGTTATGGACTTGTTCATATAGTCACTAGGGTTGTACTATTTACTTCACAATATTTGCCCTTTTGAGATTAATACTTTTTATAAATATTTTATTTTTTATTAGTATCTCCCCGTCCTCTTTCTAGAGATTTCACCAATGTACTTGATTCTCGTAACTCTCATACGACATTGCACAAAATGTTTTTTTTTTATTCCCATTTTGCTTATTAATGCTGCATTGAGCAGGACCTCAAATGGTCCCACATTTTTAGGTATTAGTTTTGATAATCCATCTGAATGTCCTAAGTTTTTAAATGGTTGGTACTCCAACATTGTAGTCTATTAGCTGTATGTATAGGTATTCCTTTCTTTTTTTTTTTTAAAACCATATATTGTTAATAGCATTCTGTGGTCTGTTTGCAGCCCAAAATTTCTTCCATGAAA